CCATCCAACCTAAACGATTCTGTGATTCTGTGATCTCAGCAACAATGCTCAATGCAAAAAATAAGGACAGTGCAGGTACTGGCTTTTTCAGCCAACTTGTCCTTCACAGTGCACTAATTCCACAAGTTTTAGTCAAACTATTAGAAAAAACCTGAAGAACAGAGAAACCAGAGAATTCACCCAGCAAGTTGTGGTGAACCTGCTGCTCATCATGCAACTCATTTCAGTACTAGTTCAGAGAAAGTAAACACCACAAAATGAAAGAGAAAGGAATCCAGCTATTTTTGTTCCCTCAACATTTGAAACAATTCCACTCAAGTCCAGTTGCTTAAGCTGGAAAGCAAGTGATCGCAAACTAACATCCCACTAGGTTCAGGAACTGCTGGTTAAGACCTCCCCTAAACAGGCATCTTCCACATCACCAGAGGAACTTTGTCTATGACTGTATTTAACAAAATAGGTACTCCTGCCCCAGTAGTCAAAGCTGTCCAGGCAAACATTGAGTTTTAGCAGAGATTAGTACACAGCACCATCCAAGCTGAATGCAGATAATTCCTTTTCAGAGCACCTATACACTTAAGGACAACTAAAACTTATGCAAACACTCTTCCATCAAGGACTTGTATTTACTTCCTATGCATAAAATTAGAAGACTACTCATAAGGTATTTCTAGCAGTAAGAGCTACGACTCAGGATGTGCAGATTCAGGTCTCCCATGGTAAGAAGGATATGAATTTTTTTTTTTCTTAATTCTACCAAAAGGCAGAGATGACCAAAAGTATAGGAAAAGCTAAATAGGCATTCATTTTCAGCTATAGCTGGAAATAGGATTTAGCGTTAGACAGACCCTTTGCTCTGACAGAAAAGCTGTTACACTTCAAAAAGCTAGGCATCAAAATCTGGTTTCTTCATAGGCCTTTAGCTGTATTGGAGTTGATCGTATTTTAAGCCAGTCTGCACGTTTATGTAATGTTAGTCTTGCAGTATTTCCCTTTGCCTACTGAAGGAGTGCGTTTGCAGTTGTATACTTTATGGCAATCTAAACACGCACAAATTAAGGTTTCCTGTCACCATCCCTTTTGCTCTGATACTATCATCACAAGCCTCCAAAAATAATAGAGATTTCCTCTTTTGCCTTCTAGGTGACAAACCAGATTTTCCCAGTTTGGACGTACTCCTACCTGGCGCTCCTTTTCCCCGTCTTCTTGATTACGGACTACGCACGCTACAAGCCCATCATCATCCTGCAGGGCGTCAGCTTCATCATCACATGGCTCTTGCTCCTCTTTGCACACGGAGTGGTGGCCATGCAGGTGGTGGAGTTCTTCTACGGCATGGTGACAGCCACCGAGGTCGCCTATTACGCCTACATCTACAGCGTCGTCAGCACCGAGCACTACCAGAAAGCGACCAGCTACTGCCGCAGCATCACCCTTGCGGCGGCCACCGTTGCTGCAGTGCTGGGACAGCTTCTGGTTTCCTTGGCCCACGTCTCCTACTTCCACCTCAACGCCATTACTTTGGCTTCCCTATCCTTAGCGTTCGCGTGCTCGTTTTTCCTCCCAACGCCCCAGAAGAGTATGTTCTTCCATAAAGACGCTTCCCCAGAACATCTCCACGGAACAGTTAAAAGTCCAGAGTCAAGTACCTCCGGCCCCAACGAGCCCTCCGGCTGCCAGGGGGACGGAGCCCCTGCACCACCCGACACAAGACCAACACCCGAGCAGCCGGCTGACCAAGCCCAGCCCCAGAATCAGGCACTCAGGGTGCTGGTGCAGCTGTGCTGGGACTTACGGGATTGCTATGGCTCTAGAAAACTTCTTTACTGGTCCCTGTGGTGGAGCTAGTTCACAGCAGGCTTTAACCAGGTTGTGAACTATATCCAAGTGCTGTGGGACTTCAGAGCCCCCTCTCATAGCTCTGCGGTCTATAATGGAGCTGCCGAAGCAATAGCAACTTTTTTAGGTAAGTAAAAGAACTTTAGCAACTACCTCTGATCTGGCATACCCTTATGGCATTCTTTAGTAACATCTTTGGTGCCTTTCTGTTTATTTCCCCATGAGAGTCAAGGGCCAAACCACAGCAGCCTCCAACATGTAACCGCCTATAAATAACGTGCAAAGTACATTCTTATTATACAGAATGAGGTGGAGTCCTCAAAAACAATCAAAAAAAAGACTGTATATATATTTATATAAAAATATTTCTTACAGGCTTATTCTACCAAAGAGTTAAGAGTTTATGTTCACAGCTCTGCTTAAACCATGAATTCAACCCCAAGTAAGTAGTTGAAATACCTGCGCAATGACACTTGGCCTTCTCCTCCCCCCCCAAAACGCATAAACCAGGTGGCTTAAGAATTAAAAGGCAGCATATTAACAGAGAAAATGCTCTAGATAATTTGTTTAGAACATAGATTAAAATCATTTCAGGATCAATTATCCTCAACATTCTGCAAGCGCATCCATGTCTTGATCAAAATGTTTACCTCTGAACATGACGAAGACAGAGACAGAGCTGGGATTGTTTAGCCTCGAGATGAGAAACCTCAGAGGAGATCTTATCGTTGTGTATACATATCTGATTTGGGGTGGGGGGGAAAAGGGGGGAAGAAGGGTGAGTCAGAGCCTTCTTAGTGATGCCAAGAGACAGGACAAGAGGCAGTGGGCACAAATTTAAATATGGGAAATTCCACTTAAATATATGAAAAAGCTTTTTTGTTGCAAGGCTGATTAAACACTGGAGTAGGGTGCCCAGAGAGGTTGTGGAGTGTCCAACCTTGGAGATATTCAAGGCTCAGCTAGACACTGTCACGGGCAACCTGCTCTGGCTGACCTGCTTTGAGCAGGGAGGTTGGACCAGATGATCTCCAAGAGAGATCTTCTAAACTCAGCTATTCTGTAATTCTGAGATTTCTTTCATTACAATTACTTGATCCAACTGAATGGCCTCCCCCTTCACTTGTGTGCCTTCTGCTTTACAGCCACTTCAAAGCATCACTTCTTCATTTAAATAGCTGTGCAGCACCAACAGAGCCTTGTTTTCAAGCTCACATTGCCACAGATCCATCTCCTTTGTACCTGCAGCCCCCTCTCACATTCCTACAGGGAACCGTCAGTTCACTCTTCCTCCCTGTAAGCAGCATGGAATGTGTTTTGCTGAAGCTACCCCAAAACTTCTGAGATTACCTATTTGAGCAGTACTCATAGGGGCTTTTTGTGTTTTTAAGCCCTTTGGCACTTGCGAGTGTTATCCATACTCTGAAATACTATTAATTACTAGAATCCCCTTGGTTACAGCAGTGATGGGACCAAGGTGGCAGGCCTACTTTGACTTTTGAATTATGCTGTAGAGCACCTGCAGCCAGCAAAGAGTCTAGCTCTGCACTAATGCATGCCAGCCCGCCTGAGAAAAATCTGGGTAGTTAGTAGTTGTCTGCTCCCCAACCCACCAGGAACTGCTCAGTGGAGTCTCATGACTTAGGCTGATGCATAACGTGTGGGAACCAGACTTCTTTCCTTCTAAGCTCCCAAACCTCAGAATACTGTGTTTCAAAGCTTTCAGAAACATGCAAGAGCCTCTGTGCAAAAGGAACATAAAGGACAAGATACAGCTGGACACCTTCTACTACTGTAAAAGTCCTTTCTTTCAGAACTGACATGTGAAGAAAAGTAAACCTCATCATTATTTTTGAGATACAAATTAAGGCATTGGAGTTAAAGTTATACCGTATTACATTCAAATAAGGGTTTTTACTAGAGCTGATGGTCAGAGAAGAATTGAGAAATGCAGCCCATAAAATCCTCCACCAGAAACCAAAGCTAGTTTCCTTAAAAGAAAAAAAATCATCTCATAAGAGCAGGAAGGAGTACAGCAGATTTTCATTTCAGGAAGGTCTTTACATGAAGGAACTGATCTCTATTATGCACTTTTTAACAGAAAAAGCTTGGTGGGGTTTTTCTTCCCTTTACTCACAGTTGTCAAAATGGAGTAACACCACAACAGACAGTGCACTGCTGCCTCCAGCCTTAGGCATGAGATGTTTTCTTGGAGTAATTCAGTATGTGAAACCTCCATAAACAAGGGAAACAGAAGACTAAGAACCTAACAGAAAATAAGCTACAGCATTATCAAAGCCCATTGTGGCCCTAAGAAAGAGCATCAAGAGATACTGGCACGATCTATTCACTAAATTATGCTATGGCTCTAGAGGAATGACTGTGTTTTGCAGCTGTAACTTATTTTCAGGTTTTTTTGTTTTTGTTTTTTTTGTTTTTGTTTTTAGGTTCAGCAACATCCATGGCAGTTGGATATGTCAAAATAAATTGGGACCTTTCTGGAGAACTGGCTTTGGGGATTTTTTCTGCAATGGATGCTGGTTCTCTATTTCTCATGTACTTTACCGAGAACATCTGGGCATGTTACGCTGGTTACCTTGCTTTTAAGTCATGCTATATGCTCCTTATAACAATAGCAACGTAAGTATAACCCACCCAATTGTTCCAGTTAAGTTGATTTAAATTAATTAGTTTCATTTCATACTTCACACTTATGAAAATTTTGAGCGTTTCCCTTGAAATGAGAGTTTGAACAGGTCAGGACAGCAGCACATTATATTATTTCTAGCTTATATAAAATTATGCTTAAGAGTATAGGACCTGACCATTGCAATGGCTTACTCCAAGTCAGTAACTACCTTATTCTGCATCGAGCTGCCTAGTCATCTATGTACAAATCTTTGCTAAACATTAAATGCATCATATGCAAGTCTTCATTTCTGAATGTTCTCAGTTTACTGCATTTCACATCATTTACACAATATCACATAAGTAGATGAAGGAAAGTGAAACACGCTTCTTCAGAAGATGCGGTTCAAAAAAGGTTGAATATGTAATCCTCCAAGTGGCTGGAGGCCTCTTTTAAGCATCGTCAGAAGTCTGCACTTAGATGGGAATTACAGAAAGATCTAGGGTTACATACAAATGCAACAACCTGAAAATCAGATCCTTCCACAGTCAGGGTACACTGAGATATCAAAAGAGATAAGCAAACCACAAAACAAACTTCTAGCCAAGTCTGTTCATTATCAGTCATATAGCAGAAATATCCACTCAAAGAAGAAAAAAAGAAAAAAAAAAAGGATAAGCAGGATATATGTGGCTAAAGTGGCAAAACCAAAAACCAGCCTTATAAAAAGAAGCTGTTGAGGAAAGGAAGGAGAAAAAAAACCAAAACCACCCACCCCCCACACACTCAAAACACACACACCTAACAGCTACAAGTGAGGAGCTATTGGGGAAGATCCTACAAAGATTCCAACGTGCACATAAAATCATACCCAAACTTTCTCTCAGAAAGAAAGTGCAAGCGTTCATGTTCTCCACAGTTTAAGTTAACCTGTACATTCATTTTTAGGTTTCAGATTGCTGTCAATCTAAGCATGGAGCGTTATGCTTTAATGTTTGGCTTCAACAACTTTTTTGCTCTGGTGATTCAGACAATTTTAACTGCTGTTGTAGTAGATTCCAAAGGTCTGGGACTGGATATCAGCACTCAGGTAAGCGCCGTTACTCACACCCCTCCCCAGTCCCTTACTCTCCTCCAAACAAGGGTTCTACTCTGAGGTTAGCTTTTTGGAGGGTATTAGCTAGTGAGCTAGCGTAGCAAATTACTCACTTGAAAGCAGGTTCATTTAAAGTGAACTGCTGGTAGCCACTATAACCCACTTGTCCTTTAGTCCTATCAGTTTTGCACGTCTGCTATTACTTTAAGAATAGTTTTGTAAAGCAAAAGGGAAAGAATCACTCCCTATTACTCAGTTTCCTTTTATTTAAAAGCTTACTATTCACAAGTTTATCAGAATACCCTAAACAGAACTGGGAAACAAAGTAAAAGGTAACCCAAGTGTCTTCATTACTAGGGTCATTCTAATTTATGTAGTTTCATGTGTACTTTAATTCTGGAAATATTAGTCTCACGATTCTCAGGCAACTTTCGGAATTAGTTTAAACATACATATTGAATGAAGTCCAAGTTAAAGCTTTCATCTTTTCAGCATGATCAGCAAGGCAGAACAGGAGCACTTTCAACAGTACTAACGTGCGGGTGGTCAGAAGCTTAGATTTGTTTGGCAAAGATGAAAGTCTTTACTCTTGTTACGCCCACAGTATGTCAAGGGACGTTCAAAGCACAAAGTTTAATTTTCACAACTGTCACACCTGATTGGACTTGTATTAAGAAAGCTGATAAAGATAAGCTACCCAGTGACAAACACTAGAGAATTTTTAAAGAAAGCAGCTGCTCGCCAAGCCAGACTTTCCACAGCAAGAGTATCTCAAGAGCATGCTGCAACATGGAACACAGAAGCAAGTAACAGAGTTTCACATTTCACAGGAATATAAGAGATAATCTCAGTAATATTTTACAGCTCATCAATGACCAACCCGACCAAGATTAGTTTTAGGGAAGTTTTGGTCAGGGAAGAGATTTGACGTTATAAAAAAGAAAAAAAAAAGTCAGTGCAGGGCAGCTGTCCTGCTGCCTTGCTGAGGTGGCGAGAGGACGTAACAGGGTGCGTTCTCTCTCCCTCCTTCTCCCACAGCAGACTTCCTAAGGGACTGTCAGGCAGCCGAACTTCCCGAATTCTGTACAGCCTGGGACCGTTCCGGGGAACGGTTGCCAGGGAAGGGAAGAGGCAGTGAAGGGACACCCACCTGTTTTTCACCTGACAGAAAAAACAAACAAAACCAAAACAATTCTTGTCTCTTCTTCTCCTTCCTCCCCATCCCCTTTCCCAGTTTCTCATTTATGGCAGCTACTTTACAGTCATAGCTGGGATTTTCCTGATCAGAAGCACACACACCATTATCTCCGTCAAATGCAGAAATACCAGTGTGACTGGGGAAAGTATTGGTAATTAAGGGGGAAGAAAAACAGAGATGAAAAGAATGGTTGCAAGCAATAGTGCAGAAGGCCGCATCACCTGAGCGATGAATTAGGGGAAACAACGCTCGATCAAGCAGGTCAGTGGTGGAACGGGCTGTTTATATGCCTTGAGCATAAAGAGCTTTGCTTTCCCCGCCTCCCAGCACCATTTTCCCCAGTAGTTCTAATCCCAACCTCAAACAACCCTCTATTTCAACTCTAATTTAATGATAAGAGGCCTGACATCAAAACTTACATTAGTGCTCAATGAACGCCGTGGGAGGCGAGCGCACTCAGAGGCCTGAACCTCAAAGAAGAGTTGAGGAAAAACACCTTTGAGCTTGCACTTCTGTCGAGGATTTCAACTGAAGGCAGCTTTAGTCTCACGTAACACCTTCACACATTTCTAACGAGGCAGTTACCCCACAGCAGCAAAATATTCTCCATGACAGCTTCCCACAAAACACTTCAAGGCTTACACTTTTCTCACCTGTAAGATGTGACATGCATTTTAAAAACGAGTCATCACAGATAGCAATAAATCATTTTTCTAGAGCTGCTACTTCTCTATGTTCAAAAATTGATTACTGCAATACCATATAGTATAACAATACTGTCTTTTCAGTTTATTCTTGCTAGTGAGCGAAAAGCAGTCAGTTCAGACTCCACATAGATAATACATCCCTCTGAAGTCTGGAGTTACAGGACTTTAAAAATACATGTCATTAGAGACAAACTGCTACTGATGCAGTGACAATTTTGCTGTAAATTGGTTGAAGATGCATGAATACAGCACACTAAATGTCTGTCTTGATAAAGAGAGATTAGCTTAGAGACTCAGCATACACCTTAATTATGTCTGACAACTTCTAGGACCCACATATACTGATCTGTGGAAGCAAAAAACCCTCAACCCTTACTGGTGCTTTTTTTTTTTTGTTTTTTTTTTTAAAAACATGGGGAGGCATTTCAATTTCTATATAAGGCAGTCTTAGTAAAATAGGAAAATTTTTAAATTTAGATAGAATTAAAATTAATGCATGTTTGACAACGTCCACTTTAGAGAGGAATGAGAACGCGAATTCCATTGTGCTCCTTTACCACTATGTACAAATTTGCCAAGAGTAAGAAATAACTGATATTTCTCCCTATTCAGCTCACAAGAGAGTCAAAATGATAAGTTCCTTTAAAAACAATTTTTAAAGTTGTTTGAGTTTACTTTTATGCCCCAAGAAGTTTTCCCTGCAAGAGATCAAAATATCTGCATCAGATTTATAGTTCTCCTCTTTCAGTAACTCCAACTAGATTTGGCCCCTTTTTAATTAAACTCTTGCCTCAGTATTTGATTCTATGCAGTACCTGGGAATTCTGCAATCGTTACAGTTAAATAATTTAGAACTACAGTACCTGGGCATCACATCTACCCTTTTGGAACTGTTTCATGATGTGCCTCACACATGTAAGAATTTAATATATTAGGACTAAAAGAAACAATATAGAAGCTCTCCAAATTAATATGTGCACAAGGAAGCTGGTACATTACAAAGTGAAATGCTGTGGTGGTAAAGCAGAAGAGGATACTGAAAAGCTAATGGAAGTATGGCTTTTTGGTAACTATGCCAATTATATGAGCAACTGTGCGAGTAACTAACTACAGAAGTTTCTATGACAAGAATTAATTTTGTAAATACAGCTATCATTAAAAAAAAAAAATTCAACCAACAAAACAGCTATGGTGTCAGTTTCTGCTCAGGGTCCTTTAGCAGTACCCAGCTTTGTTTGGATCAGAACAACTGCAGCTGACTCCGATCTCATTAGCTCTTGTCCAAGGCCTTTACTTCAGTTTATGTGACAGGAGCAAAGGACTGTTCGCCTCCCAGAGGGCTGTTCCTCTCATTGATGAGGTACCTGGGTAATTCGGTCCAGTTCCCTGCTGCAAGTATACCGAAGGTTTCCACAAATCCTTCTGAACTCTCGCTTTCCCCACTTGTTACCACACTAACGAGTCATTATCCCAAAACACGTAAGGTCAGCAGAGGAGAACTACACATATTTATGCCATACTAAAAACAGCAGTGAGACCAAGGGCACCACTAAGATCCTGGAAACCCTCAATTGCAGGGGAATTGTTTAGTGAATTTCCCAAAGGCTCCTGGGAAGTAAACCACCCATCCTATCCATCCAACAGCCCTTGCGAAAGAGAAGGGGGGGGAAAAAAAAAAAAATCACACCCCAAATCTGACAACAACAGTTTTAACTTCAAAAGTGTTAACAGGACAGAACTGACATTTAAGCAAGGAATACTACTGTAAGCAACCTCTTATGCAACCGGTCTGTCCCCAGTTTTGTGGGCTCTCCAATGTTTCAGAAAAAGGTAAGATACGGAAGTTCCTAGTCCCCATAGGCACAAATTAAGAAAAATAAGTTTTACAAGCAGTGATCACATCTTTCACTTCTCCTGGAAATAAACAGGTCAAATACTCAAGTAGTCCATATTTCAAGTGAAATTATTTACCTGCAAAAATTATCGTTTGTCTCAAATCGGCTTCCATAGCCTTCTCTCAAAACTCATCTAAAAAAAAAATCTGATCTTATTCATTCCTGTTATCTTGAAAACAGTCAGAACATCACTGTCCAGCTGGTCAGAAATCTTATTTTAACTCTATGTAGTCATGACATATTTACAGTTGTTTGCTTTGTGCCAGTATTAGACTTCAATTTAAGCCAAGTTGTCTCTAAGCTTAAGCCTACCACCACCTATTTTGATACAGTGAGTTACCATATGCTTCTTGCAATCTTCCTCTTACAGGCTAGGGAAGCCAGACATTTTTACTCTACAAACTCCATTCTAGTATAACAGAAAACATTCTAGTTAAAAAAAAAAAAACACACACACAAGAATTTAATATTCTATGGGAGGTTTTACTATTATCTATACATTTTTAATAAAAAGAGCACTAGTACATCTGTGGTAGCTTGGCCTGCTATCATACACACTGCTCTGATCACAGCTAAGTCATATTTAAAGACTCAGACATGAACTGTGCATAATTATGCATCTATCCTAGGTAACCCTTTCCCCTCAAGTTACTACCCTCCTCTGGTGCCTCCAGCACAGCTGCTCTGAAATAATCCAAGTTCACGTAAATCTATTACTGCTAAATAGGTCACTTCACTTCAGCCAGAACAGCAGGTTTAACCACAAGGACACCAAAAGAAACATGAAACATATCCAAGACTGAACATGTGCAAATTTTCAGCCTAGCTCACCTCTGAGCATATGGCTTTAGTTAATGTGTATGAGATTCAGGATATGTGCATTTTAACCCAATAAAATGTTACTGAACAGAAATAACGCCACACAATTGTTTTTTCTAATATTTATTTTTTTTCCACCTGCAAACTGTAGCAAAACATGATCAGCTTTATTATGCAGACAGGTATCCCTCTAACATTAGAGATTTAGGCATGTATAAATAGAAGAGCTCTTAGGAAAGGAAAACATTTTGAGAAATGAACAAACCTTCAATTTAACTTTATGACTTCCAATACCAATGGTTAAAATGATGTAGCCCATTCATTCCAAGAGATACAACAGCACCTTAAAGTGGCTGATCTATTTCCCAGTAACATTTTTCACATAACAATGTGTTAAAGTTACAAATACTGATATGCACAAATAGCTATTTTCTAAGAAAAATATGTACAGTACTGCAGCATAATGAATGTGGTATCTGCAATAACTTATTAGCCAATTTTAATATACATGATACCGCTACTTTTTACCTGCCAATTCACAGGTTCAAGGATGTTACCACAGCCCTCTGTTTTGCACATTATTACCTGGTGGGGGGTGGGGGTGGTTTTGTTTTTCTTTCATATTTTTATTCCTAAGGTACACAATGCAGGCTTTTATTTTTACTTCTTAAAGAGTTTTTTTTTTGTGTGTGTGTTTAAAGCTAATATCAGTGAAACAAGACAACAGTGCAAGAGGCGCAGAGATGTTATGTGACCACATAAGAGTTCTTTTGGGTAAAGTGTCTATAAGGCTATAAGAAAGGATTGGTTGATGAGCTTCCTGTTGGAAATTGTCCCGTTGGTGCACCAGCCTTGAGGAAAAAAGAAAAAAAAGAAAAAAAAAAAGATGACAAGTATTTAAAATTTTTTTCCATACTACAAATCCTAGATGCATGGTATATCAAATGAAAAACTTACTAGGTAAGATTTGTTTTTATGTTGCAGCTTTTAATTTTTTGGTGGCTCTCAAACAGCACTACCTTAAAGAGCACAGTAGGTTTGTATCTCCATTTCAATTTCAGTAGTATTATGAATGCATGTCATCAGACTACTGAATTGCATTTAGGGGGAGTCACATGCTACCTTCCCTTTTTGAAAGGGAAACAATCTGCATGCTTCTCTAAATTAAAGTATTATACCTTATGTCCCCTCTTAGACATACAGAGGCTATTAATATCTTGCATCAACTCACTTACCATAAAAGGGTTACTAGATACTCCAACAGCTGCAACTTGTCCAAAAGGAGTTACTACAGGCTTTGCCTGCCCAAATGCACCAAAGCCTGCTCCTTGGAAAGATAACAGTGAAAATATTAATACTAGTAACCAATCTTCAGAGTTTTTTTACTCCAGCTCCCCCACAAAAACAAGTGCAAGCTTGGACTGCACCAAATCAGCAGGTGCTACATAGCCTACACATAGTATTATAAGAATATTTCAATATTAAACTTGGACTTCATCACTCAACCTTTATTTATATTAGGACTGCTTAAATGTACAAGTTGGTTTCAATACTAAGGAAATATCAGATGCACTAGCACGACGTGTTTCTAATGCAAATAGGCAGCATTCTCCTCCACCCCAACTAGCCCGAATGTAGAAATAAAAACATTTCATAGACTAGAAATAAATTTAAGTTCAGTAAGAACTTTGAGTGTTCCAGGTATGAAGCCCACTGGCTGAAAAGGAAAACAGCAAGAAAGTTGAACTGTTTAAGCATGGCAAGTGTTCCTTTCCAATTAAATATTTCTGTTTTCAGAGCTTGCCACTGTTTAGTAATTAAAAATAATTTGGAAAACAGTTTTCAACACACCACTCTCCCCTGGGGGTTACTTCTTCAGTAACCTCAGCTGTATTACTGGATAAGATGAATGCTCCTAGTCTGCCTCAGTGTGCAGTAACACGGACTGCAGAAATCAGACAGAAGTGATTCATCTTCAGTTCTATAAAGAGTTTAGTGCCATACTATCCAAGTAAAGTGTACATACGTGTGTCTGTAACAACAACAACAAAAAAGTTTTACTCGGAGAACCAGAAAGCCAGAAGTAGATCTCCTTGATGTTTTCTCTGGAAGATTGCTCCACAGATTTATGGCTTTTCTATTAATATTTTATCATCAACAGTGCACTCAGAGATGATAACAGCATGACTGCTGATTATAAGCTTTATATGACACAGAGGTGTCAATACCTTAGAGCTAAAAGTTTCTTAATAGGTAAAAAACTTACAATAATGAACAATAAGACACCATTACAGGTATAAGTAAAAAAATAGGGCTTTTTTGTGTTTTATTTCCAACTGTTCAGAACTAACCAATTTCCAACTTCTACATATATACTTTATTTAGATGTTATTGCATCATTTCCATTTCAGGAGAAAAAGTGTACTTTCCAATTTTGTCTTGCCTGTACCCTATAGAGTTGGAGAAAGTGTTATAATAGGTTGCAGACACTGCAGTCTATATAACATTATAACCTACAACAGGTTACAAAATGAAGACAAAAAAACACACGCAAACAACTTTCCTGTATAAAAACCTTTAAACCTATGAACAGTATCGTTTTAGTATCAGATTAGGGTGAAACTTCAGTTATGCCTTTGGTATAAGTAAACCCGGAAAAGTCAACCCGGAAAAGTCAACTAAAGAGCCAACATATAGTATGGGACCCCTCCTCCTCATCATTATTAACCTCATATAAAAATAAATATCCAGCCTTTATTGGTAACGTAAAAGCAGATCATTTTCTCCATGCTTTTCTCATTTAAAAAAGATTATCTTAAATATGCAAACCTACCATTTGGCTGCTGAGCAAAAGCAGTCTGTTGAGGGAAAGCTGCCTGGGCTGGGAATGCAGGCTGCTGGAAGTTGCCACTAAAACTAGTAGGAAGACTGTAGGAGGCAGGAGTTCCAAATCCTGCAGGCATGCTCATGGATGCAGTGCCAAATGTTGCTGCTGGCAGGGAAAAATAACATTAAATTATTTGCAAGAAATTGCTTTTTTCATGAGACAGGAGATTCTTCTTTACATGGTATTAACAGTAATCTAACACCTCAGGGACCACACAGGAGTTCGATTCGACTTCGACTCGACTTCGACAGCCACTGAACTGACTTGTCAGCTCAGATTGCCACAAACTAGATGCATGATTTACTTCTGCATTTTAAAATGAATGGAATCGTTTCAAATTTGCTAGTTCAGCAAACGTTCAGACAAGCTTTCTAAAAAGGGGATTCTTTTTCACGTTTTCTGCATTATCAAATACTTCCCCAGAGTTTTTTCTAGTAAGAGTGTGTACATCAGAAGCAAGCGTTTTCAAGCAGCATAAGCCCCTCTGTTTTTCTCCCACTAAGAAAAGCATAAAAATACCTCCCTAATTCCAAGCAAGTTGCAAGTCAAAGGAAAAAAAGTCACATGGGATACATGCATCCCCTTGCTCTTCATCCCATCCTCAGCGTCACTTTAAAGAAAACCCTCACCATGCACATCAATTACTAGCACATAGACTTCCTACTGCAAACACTCTTACTGTTGAGGTAAGAATTAAACAAAACAACAAAAAATTCCTTTCATCTGATTCTCTGCTGAACATCAAGTAAAGAACGTACAGCACATATGCAATTCCACATGCCTTCATAAAAATGAACAGGAGCATATTAAGTGCAAACATGTAAAAACAAAACCATTATTAAGTCTTTTGGAAAGTTATTCTAGTAGGGAGTAGCATACAGAAGGCTTTTCCGTGCAAACACATCCTGGGCATTTTCTTCCAGTTCAACATTAAACAGAACTGTTCTTTTGAAATGTTACAAGTTTTAGTAGATTTTAAGTAAACCCAGTTTAAAAAAAAATGTAGTTTATAAATATAGCTTATTTATCAGTTTACCCTCAAATTACTCAAGGGCAAGACATTATACATAACACCTATTGATAAAAGCACATACTAAAGTAACACACTAACATTGCTCTCAACTTGCAGTTAGCAGAGAATCTGTTCAACAGGAAAACTTGCTAAAACAGCCAACCCAAAAGCACAAAATGTGCAGTGACTTGGGACGTCCCAAAAGGCATCAAGCTACTATGAGTATAAAACTTCAAGAGTCACTCAACTTATTATCTGTGACATGGAGGTTATCAATAATGGTTTTGTTTTAGTTGCTTAACACAAGTTGTCTATGCTTCTCTCTCCCCCTCTCCTCCTCAGTTGCCAAATACCCGCACCCACGCCATTTTAAAAGACAGAAAGAGCCTACTGAAATTCTACGTGCAGAGAACCAGATAGCTGCCAATAAGCTTTTACAAGCAAAAACAGTTAGCCACACGAAACTTAATACCAAATGTGGCCACCTACCAAAGTGAGCCTGAGGAAATATGTGAGAGTGCATTGCTCCCGAGAGGCCTTATGGAAGCCACAAAGAGACCAGACAACGTCAAATCGTTTATACACTTTTGAATAATTTCTTAGATAACTACTTTTACATATGCATAACACTTAAAAGCAAATAATTCTTCCATAGCATGACCAGCAACAAATTCAGCTAAGATACCATTAGAAATAAATGCTACAAATCAAATCTCCCATCTAATAAATAGCAAAGCTCAAGCAAAAAGCAAGTTTAGCATAAAGGACAAGCTACACATTTACAGCTTACATTGAAAGTAGAGTATTACATACAGTCAGTATCTCTATTATCTAGTATGTAACCTCAGTACAGCAGCAAAAGTGTTGAAAGCCTCTACAAGCAAAGGGCAGCACGGTTTAGAAGGTGAAAGAAGGGTAGAGGGGTTTAGCTCAAAAATTTTAAGTGGATTTATCCAATTAACTTTGTTGTATTGTCATTTGATAGACATCCACACTGAAATAGCTTCCTTCAGTCCATTAAGAAGGCTGCTTCTGAAGGCTACAAGTTCTTTAAGATGATCTAAAATTAGGGCAGTAGTCATGAGAGTGACTAAATATTTGAGTAAGTTTAGCTTCATAGTACCCCAAAAGGAACTGAAAAAAGAATTCATTTTAGCAGAAGATATGAATCTGATCAATTCAGTCTAACTCAGCCTGATCAGTTTAGTTCAGCCTACCAAAAACTTTGAGCACAGTCCATCATTAAAATGCATTTATGAGCAGACAAATGATTTAAGAAAAAAAGAAGCCCAGTTAGATAAAAGTGCCAAAATTTAACAGTGCCTCAAGAAAGGAAAATAAGCACAAAATAACATGCAATTAAATCTGTGATTAGTAAAAAGCACAGTTGTTTTTTTAAAAAAGATTAAGTTATTTTGTCTATGAAGTTATAAACCTACAGAAGCCTGAGAAAGTTAGATGTAAACCATGAGCGTTCAGATTATATTTGAACTTCGTTATTTTGCTGTTACAGAAGAAGGGGGGAAAAAAAGGACTCTTCCAATTCACCTACTGTTTCAGCTAACACATTTGTATAATTAGTTACTGATCCTGTAAACATGCTCATCTCCACGTTAGTCTAAGTGAAGTAGTTTTTTAGTGCTTCTCCAGAATCAATCTTTATTCCAATCTTTATCTTTGGTATCAGCGTATGGGCTTTTGTATAGCTTATACCAGAGTTGTATTTTAACTAAAGCAGAATAGGAACTCCCAATCCATTGCAAAGTCTAAGAGGTTTTTAAAGACTCCTTTGAAGTATATTCCATAGTATTTTTTGATCTTTTTTTTTTAAATCTACCCCAAATTAACTCCGTAAAACATCATACAGCACAGCAACAAAATATTGAGAAAGAAATCAGTTAAACCAGTCAGAATCCAGTTAAAATATATGGGGTGAGGGGGAATCAAAACTCATCTAACTGACGTTTTGGACTGAGTTAGTTTTTTTCCTCATTACAGTAGATGCATTCATTTGCTCAAGTCTAGGCACATTTTGAAATATCCCACTTTCTTCCCTTCCCCCTTTCATTTAAACCACTCCATAGTTCTTTAGGTGGGGTACTGAATAAAGAGATTGGTGAGTAGGTAAAATCCCCAAAGTTGCATCTTTCCTAGTTCTAGTTCCAGCTCTTCGGCAGCCTTGGTTTTGAGGGCTTTCAGGACTTGGAAATGAAAAACAATTCAATTCTACCCACTTGGCAGCAGGGCTTTCAAGATGCCCAACTTTAGAGCAATCTACCACGAAGCCTACTTCAAAGCCAAGTTTGCAGTCTCGGAAGGTACCAAACCAGCAGCATGCAACCTACAAATAGCTGAAGGAGTATCAAAATGCCTCAAAACAGATCATCTTTGAAAAATAAAAATGTCAAAATTAATCTTGAAATTCTAGGAGTTGGTCAGAAACAGGAAGCTAATGTCCTCAGCTCAACAAAAATATCACTAATCTCAAAAAAAAAAAAAAACACGCTCAACTTTTGCATCCTATTCATAACTATTGTACTCCTAATTGAACAAACTCAGTTTGTCAAATAAATACTAAAGACAGATAATACAAAAAAAGCCTTTAAGAAACAAATTACAGAGCTATGAAAACAGAATCAACACAAGCCTTGAAAGTAAATTTCTTAAATGAGTAGAGGTTTTTTCCTAACCTGTTGCTCCTCGGCTACTCGTCTGGAATGGATTTGTTGAAGGTGCCACTGGGGCAACAGGGGCCGCTACAAATGGATTTGTGGAAGGTGTTGCTGAAAGATTAAAAAATATTTAACAAAATATATAGTCTTTTAAAAATAGTCATTCTGGCTTGCATTACATTTATATGACTTTTACACAGAGATATATGAATATCTATAATGACATGAAACAAACAAAAAACAAAAACAAAAAACTCAACAACTGACAAAGCAATTAACTTGCAACACATCACCCACGCAGACAACCGTATCTTTTGTCATTCTTTATCAACTTCAGTAGCATTAGTGTCCAAAGCATAGCACCGAGGCGTTTGCTTACAGACCGCAAAAGTGTTAGTAACACTTACATACCTCCAAATGGAGCAGGCATACTCGAAGATGCAGGCTGTGTCTGTGCAGTAGCAGCCACGGGTACTGTTCCAAAAGCATTGCTGAAAGTAATCCACACATTCAGTGAAATCGGTATTGCTTTTTTAACAATTAAATACAACCTACAACTATTGCTGGCATGTAAAAGAATAGAAGAGGAATGCTTATGCACAGTTTGCAAACTCCTATATGATCCACTGATGCCAGGAACTGAGCACCTGATGCCAGGGTCAGAAACTAACATACTTGTGCTGGGCAATGGAAAGTCCTTTCCACCAACAGCAAGGGAGAGAATATCGAATAGAGGCCACCGGTATAAAGTTGCAAATCAAAAGCTCTAGCGATATTTGCAATACCAAACATAGCTGTAATGGGCATTTGTTTTTCATTATTTTAATGATTAGCACCGTGCACACTACAAATATCCCAAAAACCTTTTGCCAGGGATAATGCTATGGTCAAGTTTGCATGCAAATATTCTGTACTGAAAAGCGTTATCATCTGAGAGGTTTAGTATATAATGACTAGAAAGGGGCAGGGAACATTCTGCTGACAGACAGTATTCATTTCTTCTTTCAACATCTAACAGACAGTAATATTACTAAAAAAGACAGTTTCAACAGTACCTCTAAACTCACTATTTCCTTATTCTTGGTAAGGAAAAAATATACATATAACCAGTCTTAAAGAACTTCCCTTGAGCTATTTTTCCATATACTGATGAAGTCTATTTTCAGTCTATTACTTCTAATAAAAAGTACCTGCTAACATTACTGGTGGAAGTATATGCATTACTAGAGGTTGCTGTGGAGCTGAACACGCTGTCTAATTCTGCTAGAGCTGCATACTTGTCTGAAGATGCACTTGACTGACTTGAGGCTGACAAAGCAGGACCTGCTGATGCTGTCACTACAGTGCTGAAGCCACTTCCTTGCTCACTACCACCTAGAAAGAGAGATACCAGATTAAAAATAACGAAGAAGGTTTCTACTTTCTGCCCCGCTCTATTAATGTTGACTACTACATGTAAGTTCACAGACAGATTTCTGTTTCCAACTTAGAAATGAAATAGGCCTTATGGCCTATAGAAAAAGAAACGGTTACCAAGCCGCTGCTATTAACAGAGTGTCATGCTTCTATAGACATTCTACAGCTCCAAAGAGCCTCTGCTTTTCCCAGAACATAGTGACTTCATACTTTTGTCTTTTCTTCAACTAGAAGAATTCTTTTTTTTTTTTTTTAAAATGCAAATACCATTTCAGAACAAACCTCTACATTACAGGTCAACACTTCAATTTTCACATCATTTGAGAAGCAATAAAAAAAGTTACAGGATACCTAGTCTTGTCACCATAGCATAGCATTAGGTAAATCCATACTGAAGTTTTTCCACCTCCTAAATTTACATTTACAAGCATCATTAAGGATGCTCCTTTCTCAGCCACTCTCTACAGAACGTCTCTGCATAAACGTCCTCAAAGGACTACTCTTATGGCATCAAGTGAATAGGGTAAGATGCCATGAGGTACGAAGAACCACGATAAAGGGAAATAGAAGATGCAAAAACAGACAGAATAACAAAGTATTATCTTTCCATACATCAACAGTAGTATGGAACTCAAAAGATATGCACAGATTTTTGTAGACAATATGTAGGAAGAAAGGTATGATACCACAGCATCTTTTACCAAAGGGCTGACCTCAAGTCATCTATTTTGCTCCTTATACCCTGTGCAGTTTTGCTATTAAAAGAGTTAACCTGTATTTCGAATTTTTATACTTCTATACCTTATCCCTTCATAAGGATTGCTAAGCCAAGGAGACAGAATGACTTAACTGAACACAGCCCTGTTGTAGGCTTGTACTGAACATAGACTAAAGCTGAATTTTGCATTCGTGCTAACAAAATAAAAATAATTTCAACTTTAGCTGTGGCAGAACTGTTGTCCACTGCCAATTAACACTGGTTCAACCCAAGCAGAAAATGTAAGGTGCCTACAAACTTAAGGTAATGATTAACAGACTCACATACCATATAAATATTTTTGGAAGCTGATGAAGCTTGTTTAGTGCTTCAACAATACAAAGAATAAAATCAACCTCTATGCTGGTGAAATTCTGTCAGGAGAAAGCTACTATTGCAGTTCTTTGTAATAACTGCAGTTCTCCATTAAAGAAACTTCACCATAGGTTTTAGCTCAAGTATCTAAAAAATAAGAAAATAAATAAATACACACACATCACTGCACTAATCATTTATACATTTCAACCTAGAATTCTTCATTTTGGCAGCAAGTAGGTTCCCAAAAAGCCATTGTCTGATGGCATCCTTTTGGAATGACGATGTTACTTTTAAACTCATGTCTTGCACGCTAGGGGCGCACAGCAACATTTAAATATGTGAAATTCCACTGATAGTTTCAAAAACAGACATTTTGGAATATAGTAAGTTACTATTCTGACAGACATCGCTATTCCTTGTGATACGGAACAAAAGTACTCTAGTACAAACACGTCAAAGAATAAAATTTAATACCTTGCCCTGTGCTGAAGATATTATCTAAATTAGCAAGTGCTGCATATTTGTCTGCTGACTGGAGATTCGGTTTATTCACTGCAGCTTTACTGACTGCGGTTGCCGTTGTGTTGCTCTGAGAAGCACTGAAGGCTCCAAAATCAGCACTGGAGGATTTGGGGAAGTTATCAAAGTGAGCAAAGTTAGCATTCACTGATCCAGCACTTCCACCTGTAACAAAGTAAGTTAAACATGATTGATACTCAAAGCTAGAGAAGTCTCTCCAACCACAATCGGCAGCACAGTAATCCCACCTCTTTGGAGTTACGTGAGGCAACATCTTCCCCCTGCACCATCCCACAGGTTTAAAACCCTTTCTCATATCCTTCAAATTAATGCTGGATCATCAGATTAACTAATTTATAATTTTTAGTCTCTAGATCAGAGAAAAAACTTTAACAGCTTGATCACAGTCATAGTTAGATCTTGCAAAACTATGCACTGCCCATTAACTGTTAAAGTAATTTCACAGCAATAACATTTTGCTAGAAAAATATATGTTGGTCTCAATTTTAAAAATTCAAAATGCAGGATCTTCATTTTCCTGTCATGTGTGTCTAATGAATAGCTACTACTTGAATTTACTTAATGGTATAGCATGTTTAACCATTTCAGATGTCAGTCATTACTCCAGGCAAAAAACACAGCCTAGAAGTCCAACAGTAGTATGATATGACACCATGCCAAGGTTCAGAGAGACTAGTTCAGTTTTTTATTCTCCGATTTCCAGACTGCATCCAATCAGGAGGGGGTGGGAGTCAAGGGGGAGACAGCTCTTTTCACATCAAGTCTCTACTGACCTCAAAGATATGTAAGTAAATTTGAAAAATCTGGCTAGGTCCAAATAACAGAATTTATATTTACATATGAAACTATGAGCTTCTAACTGTTCAGTGTCCAGAGTGTTAGATTAATATAAGCAAGTCACATTTAAATTTAATTGTTCCATTAAGTACATTAAATATAAAATAGGTAATAATTGGTTTCACAAAAAACAAAAGACACACAACTTTTAAATAGCTTAATGAAGTTAAGACATATGCAGTAGTAGAACTGAAAAAGGCTACACAACAATGGCATACAATGAAGCAAGCTGAGTTTTCCACTGCGTGGAACTTACTGTGCACAGCCTGGAGAGGAAAAGCTGAAGTAAATTCACCAAAACTGCAGCTAGATGAAAGCGTTCTGAACGCTGGACAGCCAAAAATTGTGTGTGGGTTAAAGTTAACATAAGAAGGGAGAAAGAAAATTTGAAAGAAAGTTTAAAACGACACCACACTCAAAAGAAAAAAAAAACAACAAAAAACAAAAAACAAAAAGGAAAAGAGTCAGTCAGCCAAAGATCTAGACAAACAGCAAGTGTAAGCTCAAGCAAGAGTCTTAAAGCATGATCAAATTAAAGGAAAAAAAAAAAAAATCTTAGCAATAGTCTCTACACATGAAGTCCTTTGACAGCCAAACATAGTAAAGCGTGTGCATATATATTATATATATATACACACACATACATGGACTGTTTTTATTTTTATAGTAGCCTGATGTGCTTTTGGGTTTCCTGAAACCCTTCTAAGATGAAAACAGTCAATTCAAATATTTATTATAAGCAGTATGGTTGTACTCTATTTTTATTATTCTTTCAGGTGTAGAGCTAACAATAAACATACAGTGTCCATAAATCAGACTTCTCAGTAGCATTAAAAAAAGGAAAAGAAAAGAAAGTCAACACCAAACAAAGGGAATTCATTTTGAGTTTCCCCAGAGCTTCAAATGGCTTGATTGCACTAAAGCAGGCAGGTGCAAGAAATAAACTCAACTGAAGTGCCTTCCAACCTAAAGGTATGGTTTATTTCAATCAAGTATTAATCAAAAGTGCTAGGAGTTCTACCTGTATTTTGGGGCTGAAAAGAAGACTGACTTGCTGTGGGGAAACCTCCAAAATTACTCGAGCCACTAGACTGTCCAAATGCATCAAAGTTTGCAAAACCTGCATTTGCAGAGTTCTGCGCTGTAAATTGCAAAGGAACAAAACATGTTAATGGATATGGGGAAAAAAAGTAAACACAAAAACAGATGTATTAAGTGAATTAATGGTCATGACAGCCTCCAAGGGTTGTGCCCTACCTTGTAATTCCTTTTTACATAAAATGTAGACATTATATTCTACAAATAAAAGGCCACCATCACAGACCTAGGTCACTTACTACTGCTTCTTCTCTCCTCCTCACACATGCTACTCCTCACAGCTACACGACCAAATGAAGTCCAGTTCAGCTTAAGCCTACAGTGCTTGGGGTGGACATTGGGGGAATAAACGACCAAAGAGTACAGAACACCAAGGCATAGCTGTAGAGGCCAAACAAGGTATCACTCTAAATACCACCTCCCAGAAACAGGATCTGTGGGCTAACTGAGCATTTGTTTGGGAATAAAAATTAGAAGGTGTTCTTATACTAAGAATTTGAATTCTTCTTATACAAAGAGCTTCTTTCTTGGGGGAGATTTAGCTAAGCATCACTTGAATAGTTTCTGCTAGGCTTATAAATGCATTTTACTAGAAAACTGAGTTTTACAAAAAAACTAAATCAAAGGACAGAAATATGGAAAATCAATACCAATGTCAAGAAGATAACATTCATAGAGTGAATCCACAAAATAAAATCCAAGGAAATTTCAAACAGAATTTCAGTTTGGTCCTTCCTTTCGTGCCATACTATAGGAGGAAATAAAAGTTAAAAATCCATCTAACTTCAAACAGCTGGTCATTCAAGCATGAATAAATTCAATAGGAACTGAGTGCCTACATACCTGATAAGCTGCCTATATAACCGATAAGCTGCCCTGAAAGTCTTAGCTACTGTTACAAGCAAGCAGAAGTGTTTTTAAATCACATATAAATCAAAACCCTATAAACAGATAACCTGAGTCACTCTTTAAAGAAAGCCAACAAAATGCCTTTTAGCGTAACAGTGGGAATACACTCATTCTATTACTAGGTCAGCACTTCCAGTTTAGCCTGGAGGGATTTCGCAGTCAAGTAAAGTATCCACGGAAACAAGAAACAACGGCGATGGTTTAAATATTGCTATAGGCAATGCTGGCTACTTAAAAGAAAAGGTTGCATTATTTCACTGAACTATTTCTATTAAAAATGCATCCATACTACAAGTTTATAAGCTAAAAGGGTATTTTTATACAAATTAGTGTACAATGCTAGTAATACAAGTGCAAGTACAAGTATTTCCCCTTCATGTGGGGCATCAGGGGAGAGGGCAAGGTGCGACCCTACTTGATAAATTTTTTTTTACTAAGAGTGCTCATGAAAGCCAACAAGCAAGGTGGGGGGTGGGGGGCGCAGGGGCAGAAGAGAGAAAGCAAGTTCTCAGGAAAGGTCAGCCCTAAACCTTTCCCCTTTAAAGCAAGCAAGGAAAAAAAGTTCACGAAAATATAAGAAAAGTAGTTTCTGTCATTACAGACAGCATTCTAAAGACTTCATCTCCAAATTCCACTGTAAGAATTCAACTGCAATTTCATTAAAAGCGGAAACGATGCTATTACAGTGAGGCATCAGCTGGGTTGGAGCTACTTGGAGATCTGTGTTTAATTTACTGAATAAATTTATGTCACTCCTAGATTTGCAGAAAAGTTTTGTATTTGAACCACTCACATGAACAGAGAACTATGTGAAGAATCATGAATCAGATACCTTTCGAGTCTAGACTGGAAACCTGAATGTATTCATTACAGTCTACATTTAATATTTTATTCAAGCAGCTGATACAAAAAGCATGATTTATAAGAGAGCCCGTGTTTTACACAGATTCAAACTTTACCATGAGAAAATAACACAAAAGTAAAGACCAGGTAAGGACCTGTACTTTCCTGTGTCTGTACGATACGTACATCGTATTTTTAAGGAAGGACTGTCAATTCCAAAATTAAGTTCTCTACCCAGAAGCCCAAGAACAACACTAACAAAGGAACCTTGGTGGAATACAGATCGGTCTACATTTGCAACTGCCGTCGTGATTGCAAATCAATGAGGCGGCACAAAAGTCAACTGGCTAAAGCTAGCTTGGAGGTCCAACCTCCAAGCCACCATAGCCATGGCAATACAGGCCAGCTCCCACAGTCTTTGCTCAAATCCTTCTCTGGGGTTTACCCTACATAGTGCAGTAGAGAGGCATGAAATATTCCAAAACAAGAACCTCTGTAAATAAAGACTGCATTTATTTACTTATGAAATTGAAAATCACTCTCCAGAAGACAATTGCGTTGTACTACTACATTTCTTCTCAGTTAAGTCTGTTCTCCTCATGATCCATGACAGAGTGGACCTGTGTTATCATGCCTTTTTAAAGTCTTTTCTTCAGGTACTCTTAAGCTTATAGAATGTCTGCATGTCAAAGAATTCTTAATTTCTTTTGTCACTATTAGCAGTAAAAAAGCAATAGACTGAGAGAACAGTTATCTATAGTATCCTCCAAAATCTCATCATTTTGCAGAAATGATGGAACTTTGCAAGTGAGTAAATGGGAGGTCAGCATGTTTCCACTTCAACACACAGCAGTGCCCTGAGCCAGCATGGTATATCAGGAAACTTTAAAAAAAAGGAACACAATCAAAAACTACATTGCCTGCATGATTTTCAAGCTTTACATGTGGACATCACAGATCACAGCAGAGATTCTTGAATATTTCCCTCCCAGCTTCTACACTCAGTTGCGTCTTAACTGTAGAAAAAGCAACTTACTTAAACAGACGTTAACCTTGCTGGTCGTCTTCAGCAAGTTATTTAGGTAACCACAGTGTACATATAGGAAAGACAAACAGTCCATCTCCATTTTGCAGGAGCAGCAAAAAGCACCAAGCCTCAAAGAACACCAGCCAATAGGCCAAAGGCTCTGAGAAAGTTGCGCTGGATCAAATGCAAGATCTTCCATCCTCTGCTAGAGTAGGCAACTGGCTGGCAAGTTACATGTTTATAGCTCACTAAGTGAGCATTTAAAACTTATTTTTACAAAAGTTAGTAGATTCACCAACCCTCCTCCTTGTGTTCTAAAGGGAAGAGTCTGCAGCCTTTCATTACCAGTTTTAGTTAATGCCACCCTTTGGTTACTGCACACAATACAAACCTTATGAATGTTTTATACTAGTGAATCAGAACACACCCTTACAAAAACTGGTTTGTGATATACGTTCAGCTATCACATGCTTGGAATTGGGTTTTGTTTTTTAGAAATTAATTCAAACCCTGAAAGTGTTTCATGTCCTAAAATTTACAGAAAGGAGTCAAGGGAACGACCACAATCTGCTATTAGTATATTTGGATATTCCTCGCACTTTTGATTTTCACCACTCCTTTCAACCAGAAATTAACAGAATCTTAATATATTTTTTTTTTCTTCTGGAGTGACTACATTGCATCCTACCGTTATAACTATTACCCAGAAGAGATGCAGCAGAAATTTGTCTAGACTTGGAGCACAGTATTGAAATATTGCTTTAACGGAACTTCCACCTCCTGAAACTCCTGAAGAATAATTAAGCATACATAAATATAGAATGATTCAGCACAAGTTTGGATAGAATTAGAATTATGGGTTTTTTTTTGAAAGAGTTAAGTATCTGCAGCTTCTTCAGTAACACTGCAATATTTGCCAGTCAGCACAAGTTCTCTCAATTAAATATACCTCCAAGACGATGATTAACGTGAAAGCTTACGTTAAGCATTTTACAAAAAAACACTGCAACAGCAACTTCTATTCAGCATTACAGAATTCAGCCAGTCATTTCACAATATTTTTTAAAAAGTTAACTTTAAGCAAGCCTTGATACTTTGCTCAATTCCTCAGGTACGTGACCTGTGTTCCTTTAACAGTTCATCTCAGCTTTTAGCCGTTTCAATTCAGACTTAAGAAAATTTTCTTATTTTTACTGTGTTAGCAGCATCAATTTCTCTCAGAAAAATGAGATGAAAAGCTCATTCAGACAAGGCAGGCAAAGGTATTTTCCCACAATTATAATGCAAGTTAACAACAACATAGTTCAGTGACCACAGAAACAACTTTTAGTTAGAATAGACTTCTATGGTTCAAGATCTTTGAGCTGAAAATAAACCCTGAGGGCTCAATATATTTTGCTGAAGACATTCTTTAAGAATTCAAGTCCACCCCCATCCTCAGTCAAGCCATATATTCAAGGCTTGTTTATTCTTCCTGAAACTACAGAATACTACCCACACGGGCTTTATAGACAAAAAAAAAAAAAAAAGTGTTTTCCCTAAACTGAGAAAGCCTTGTTTTTCCTCTAACAAACTGATAATTATTGTCAGTGTATTTGAACTCCTTTAAAGTCTCTACATCTACTTTCTTTCTTGTGAATGCTCTTTCCATTAATTTTCAGAAAGAAAACTGAAGATCTAATATCATCCTCTCCTTACATTATGTTACTCATTCTCACTCACTCCCCCGAAGAATTTAAGTCCTGGTAGTAGGCAGAAAACATCTGAATCATATGTATTATAGAAAACAGCTACAGCAATTCCTGCCTAAAGAAGAAAAGCAAAAAAGAAAAAACTGCACCCACCCACAGTATTATGACCACTTGCTTTCAAGTTTTCCTTTAGATTTTTACAAAGAAAGGTTAAGCAGTACAACACTCAAGGCACAGAATTTTACAAATTTAAAAGGGATAGTCTGCTCAGAATACTTACCTGTATGACTGTTGAAGTGTGCAAAGTTAGCAAAATTTGCTGTAGCAGTTGAATGAGGAGCAGGAGCAGCAAAGATATCTGAGCCAAGGTCACTGAGGAGATCAAATTGTTTCTTTTCTTGTTGCTGCTGTCCTTGAGATCGAACTACAACAGGAGACTACCAACAACATTTTAATTAGCTAAACAAACAAGAAGTTAATATTTTGCCAAACTGACTTTTTGCAAGATGCCAGAAGGACAGAGCAAGTTACTTTCAGAATGGTTTTATATTAATATTCTCCCGATTGATCATTCCTTGCAAACCACAAGGTTTATCAAATAAAATCGCATTTTTTCTTTCGGTTTTTTTTTTAGACAAGAACTTCAGGAATAAGTGACCTATTAATGATGCTCTATATAGCACAGACCGTCCTCCTACAGTAGGAGGCAGGCATTCTATTTATGACACTGGCATGTTTAAGAGAACTGTGCAGCAGGCTTCCACTGATTTAAGGGGCCCAGAAGAATAAAGTAGCAGCAAATAAACAAGCAACTTCAAAATTAGGTATTTCTACAGTATTTGCAGTTTTAAATAAAGGCAATAAAACTTAATTTTATAAGTTAGAAAAAAAACTATTCACTGCATTCTGGAAAAAAACATTTAAAATTCAGTAGAGAACAAAAATTCATAGGAAGGCTACAAGTTGCAAGTTTCTGGGTTTTGAGTCTGTAAGAAGTCCATTCAAGAGTTGTCTGTACCCGAATGGTAAAACAGCTTTTCAAAAACAGTCTTCCTCACAGACTTAAGCTATAGTATTGTTTGGCTTTACATAACAGCATACATATATACTCCGAAAGTCACTTGGTAAGACAGTCGCAGATGCATGAAAAGTAAGAGTGAACACGCACACTTTTCACCCACATACAACTAATTTCACAATTAACAGTATCAGCCATTTTATTGCTTTTAAAGAAGAAAAAAACAAGAAAATATAGCACATTGGATTCAAAGTATTGACACATTTGAGCAAAAACCAATCATCATTAAATTTGTCAATCACACTGAACGATCCTGCTTTGAGAAAATAACCATTTTAAAAGTTCATTTGGTCAATAACAAGGTAGCATCTTCTCAAACAAGCTTAACTTAGGGCTTGATCTTCAATACCCATGTACTTCTACAAAATACATAAAATTGTCTTTAGCGATATTCATATTTTTAGGCAGCAACTGCTATTGTTAAAATTTTCATTGTACTAATAAGAGAAACGTACAGCTGAGCAGCTCTGTGCTCTTCAGCTCTGTTACTATTTACTCACTTGACTAGGTGTGCCCTTGTTTAAGTGCAGTGCAGGTGCCGCTTCTCCCAAAAGAGATTTAAGTGGCTTCACCTCAGGTGTGCTGCTTGTACTACTAGCAGAAGACCCCGATATGGACGCATGGACTGATGCCACAACCTTTGCTTGCTCTGGAGGAACATACCTATGTTGAACAAGAGGAACTGTTTTTATAAGTTTAACACGAAGAGTTCTGCCCAACATCTACAAGACTGGAAGCATAAAAACTGCTAGATCTCAGCTCTGCTACTTTAACTACTGGCCCAGCAACAAATTCTACGAGTAGTTTAAAAAATAACTAGGATTTAAACATGCCAGATATTTTTTAAAAAAATGGACCAGAATTCCAAGCCTTCAATATTCTACAGTCCCTAAGACCACATGCATCATCACATGCATCTTTACTTCATAATAACAGCCTGCAAAACTTACCTTTACGCTGTTGCCAATACCACCTTAAACCATTTCTGTCCTATCAAGATAAACTACACATTGAGAAACTTCTTTAAATAGTTTACCTTCTCTACTTCCTGTATGATTTCTGGACTTTATTCGGAAGTCCTTTACTTTATATGGCTATGTGACTGAGGCCAAAGGGCACACAAAACGGAGAGTACATTCAAGATTGCAAGAATAACATTAGTTAATTTTTACACCTGGTCAGAGAAGCAATCTCCATAAAAATAGTTTCTAAATCAAAAAGATTTTAAAGCTATCTTACCATCTTTTCTTTTCATACTTTTCCTGTAGAAACTCCTTTACTTTCTGTGGATCCCTGAAGTCTGGAATTGCTGATGATCTGTCATCAAATAGTCCTAGCCAAATCTGTTTGCACACCTTTTATATACATATATTAAAAAAAAAAAGACTGATTATTCAAAGAAAATATTTTAATTCAAAACTTCAATGAGTTTACAACAGTTAATAGATCAAACCATAAAAAGGGTATTCTGCACATTAATCATTCCAAATTGAGCATCTCTAACAACTGACTAGTGCACCTTATACTGGTCTAAATAGTTAAAGTTGTGAGACCACCTCTCACTACAGGGCAAGCAAATGCTACCATCCAATTTCATTGTCAAATATTGCTTTTGCGCAAGATTTATGATACGTACTCAGGAAGGGGAAAAGCATCTAATTTCTATTTGTAATTCCTAGGAGCCTTCACCTAATTCCACATATATTATTACCTCTATTTTAGAATTTAAACAGTTCCCCCAGATCCCATCTACCACTTTACTTTGTCCCAGATGCCAGAGTTTAAAATATTCTCAAGTTTCAGTATTCATAAATAATATTAGGGAATAGGAAAAAATTTAAAAATACCTTTCTTAGCATGATACAGTCTCTGAACTGAATATACAATTTTGATACCATTACTTTTAATTGAAGTGGGGGTATGAGAGAAAGGAGGGAAGAAATCATTTTGCTCTGCATTCGCTTTCTAGTTGTAGTTGTCAATCGGCAGAAGTTCAACTGATTGCAAAATATTCAATACGCAATTATGTATGGTCAGCTTTGATTCCTGACCAAAATGAGAGGAAAGGTGACTGTTTTCTCAAAACCAAACAAAACACAAAGGGGATACTGAACATAATTAACATCAGGTTTTCTTCAGGCACTTAGGGATTTCTCCACAAGTAACCTGAATATGCATTCAAACAACACACTAAACATGATCCGTTCTTTAAAAATGGACTCTGCTATTTTGGAACAGGTTTCTTTCTGAGAAGCAAGAGTCAAAAAGCTTTGTTTCTAAGATGCATCTCCTTTCTTCCTGCAGCCTTGTCTGAAATAGTCCTGACCATCCCTCTTTAAAACTCTTGGAAGTGTTCTCTTTATCCCTGCAATAGTACCAAGTTTTCAGCATTACCCTCATGATCGGAGCACATACTCTAAGCAACTAGAGTTGCACATACTGATCAGCCTGGAAGTCAGCAAATGAAGGTAGTTGTGATACTTGCACTACATGATCTTCCACAGAGAGACACTAACTTGGTGGGTGGGTTCCCCCTCCTTCACCTGGCCAGCTAACTTCACAATAATTGCAGAAACTTTGCATCTTTGGGAGCTCTGGTGGTCAGTTTTCATAAACTTGGTAGGTCACTTCAAAGATCACTTAGAGCAATAGAAAGATGAGACAGACAGCCTGAGTATATTTCATGCTTTCTTATGCCTCCGTTTCATTCAGCCTCATTTCACGTGTCCAACATTTAGTAGTCCTTATTGTAATCTACTGGATAGAGGCCGACAACGAGAGTGGGAAACAGATGCTATGATCAAAGGGTAGCTATAAATCAGTAATTTAGATACTCAACTAAAAGTGAAAACTACTGGTCTGATTTTAACTAAGCCTCCTAGCTATTCAGTAAATTTATTCCAAAAGGGGTAAATTCAATGCCCTGATTTCAGTTTGCATATTTAAAGGTATCATTTTTAGTCTGGTAACGGATGATATAAAACTAAAGAACTGTTTAATACTGAGACACAAAATTACTAAATTCATGTGAAGTTAAAAGCTATAAACTCAGTTTAAAAAAAAAAGGTCTCAAGCCTCTCCTAAAACAGCTAAAAGCATGAAGTACTATTTTAACAAAGAAGGGCAATCTTTCACTTTATCAGCCGTAAGCCAGTAGTATTTCCATGTTTAAAATTAGGTGAACAGACATTGCAAGAATGTGAAGGGCTAGAGTAATATATTAGTCAAATTTTCTCCATTTTTGAGCAAGTTCAAGCAAAAGCAGGAGACTTCCTAAAAACCTTGCCAGGGATTCCCTCTTCCAGAAGAGGAATGGACATCCTTTCTGAGTATAACTGTACAAAGTGGCATGCATGTGATAGCTGGGGAGTAAAGAGGCCCTGCTGGTGGCTGATTACAGAACGTCTGACAGCAGGAGCTGGCAGGACCGCCAACTCTTCACTATGGACTTGAACACTGGGAGGAACATCAGAAAGACTGGAGGAAAGAGACAATTTTGCACAGATTAAGACAAACATTAAGACAAGCGTTAGAATCAGCCTTCACTTAGCAGAAAAGCACTCAGGGCTGTACCTTGATGATGAGCTTACATCCAGTCTAAGCATAGGCTGGCACCTGAAAGAGGAGGTCCCCTTCCTCACCCACTTCAGGCCATGAAATTCTTCCCCCCTTCTACCACACAGAAGGGCAGGTCAGATCAAGGAAACTGATTTCAATTGCCATGTTACTAGTACCACTGAAACTCACACCGAGATCAACCCACAACAGTAATCAAAACACAGCTCAGTTTTCCACCTTTCTACCTCCGTGTTACTTGCTTCATCTCCATTTTGACACACCTAGTGGGGTTTTGTTTTTTTTTTTTGTTTTTTTAAACGGGGGTAGGCAGGGGCAGGCAAGAATCATCTCAAATAGTCTCGGGTCTACCTGATCACTCCAGCAGTTTCTAGGTGAAATCTGCAAATTGGATCCCATATGACTTTAGATCTTCACCAGCTACACAGGTGGGGTAGATAATAGTTCTGTGAACATGCACACAGGTATCAAGGAAGACTGCACTCGTCCAAGCACATTGTTTAAAATGATGTTTCATGCAAGCTTTTTTTAAAAAAGGTGTCAATTCTTCACTATTAAACCTTCAGAAGGCAGGCTTCCAAAAGTGTTTCTTGGAGCCATTAATTTTTTTAAAATTCCTAAATACAAGAGTAGTAAGAAGTGTGAAATAGGCCTTAAGTCACTATAATAGCAGTGTTTAATTAACCTGCCAAGCACTCTTTATTGATTCTGTTACTGGAAGTAGAGAGAAGAGTATTACTAATGGGCAAAGGTGGCACCATGACAACACACAACCACCAAAAAGAACCTAGACTTAGTCTCACACATTTCAGCAAGAAGTACTCATTTTAATAAGCAGAGTTTGACAGCAGTAGCATGCAAACACTGGTTAAAACATTTACTACTTCGACATGCAAATTGCAAACTTAGAGATGCAAATTAAATTTCATGCAAGTTTCTTTATAGAAAGAGTTCTCTTAAGTACAATGTCTTAGAAGTTTTAAATACAGACAAGCTCTTCAGAAAGCCAGCTTGTATAAAGCTTTAATATCACAAGACAAACTAATAAAGGACACAGTTTTGTCTATGTCTGTATAAAGTACCACCCAATGCTTTGAACACCAGCCGCGTTCCAAGCGACCATTCAGAACACAATAAAAGGCTCGTTGTCTCTACTTGTTTGTTAGTGACCTGCATGCTCTTTCTAGCTATACTTTTGTTGCTATCATCTGACTTGACAAGGGTCCACAATACCCCATTGATTAGGCCTCAAGCCAGTTATAATATCCAATTTTCAGTCATCAAAAAAAAGAAGAAACTTACCCCCCCACACACACACACCAAGCAAACAGCAGTGTGCTGTGCCTGTTACCACATGGGATACCATGGAATGAAATCAAAGTTAGAAATTAAAATACAAGAAAACATTAATTATGGTCAGAGACAGAAATTGCATCACTGTATGATTATCTTTGAAACAGTTACCTTTCCATAGCCTTAAAATAAGAATTCACTAACAGTACTGATTCTTGTGCAAAGAAAAGTTTGTTCTCTAAGTAAGAAATGCCAATATTTTTTCTGACCAGACCACCACATTTTTTATTTCAAAGCTATTTAAGACTTATTTTTATGATACGCATATCAAGAAATTGATTTTGGTGGCATATAACTTGCTGGTGATTTCTAATGGGGAAAGATCGTTTAGCATTTATATCCTTGGCATAAAGATCCTTGCTGTAAGTCACCCTCCATGCATCACAGCTTTTAAAACCCCTACCCAGATTTGACAGTACTTGAGATACTAAAAGATTAATTTTAACAAAAAGTTAGTGAAAAAGTAGGAAGCCAGACTAGGAACTTCAGTGAAGAGAATACTTCAGCATGAGCCTCAGTTGCATGTTATGTCTGGTCTGACCCATGAACAAGCAAGGCCTTGGTCATTCATACCACATGCTGACTTGTGCCCAGCTATTACTTATGGCATGAGGGAAAAAAGTGCAAAAAGACAGGAAAGGGCACATAAATCCATACAAAAACCAAGCTCTGAGAGACTAGTAGTTCCGTTAAACGTGCGGTTTCCTTCCAATTTAGTTTTCAAATATAAACCTAGAACCTATACCAAAAAAGGCCCCTACCCCCTCCAAGGGACTAATTTTCAAAAGAAGCAAAAACTCAGAATGACATACGCTTTGAGAATTTCGATTTTGACATGTCAAACAATGTGGATTTTAAACCTCCTCTCTGGTCTGTAATGATTCTGTATATTAATCAGATTTGCAGGGCTGATTCAGATAATGCTGCTGCCCCAGTTTCATCTTAAACTCCCATGTAACAGAATTAGTCACTCCTCAGCTTTTGCAAATGATACGTAAAGAAGCATCCTACCTTATCACAAAGTTACACAACTTCACCTTTGAAGGACCAGGCCTATAAATTCTATAGCTTTCTGAAATCTTTCTATTTCTCACCATCTCCTTGGTGACACTCTGGTTCAGCCATTTAATATTAAATATTGTTGCTTCTGCAAAAGCAGCAGAAATAAGCTGCTGCTCAAAAGCCCTGCTACTCACCACAAGCCTTGCTGTAGTACTCCTTTGGATAACCAAAGCTCTATTGAAACAAAACGCTGCTCAGAGGAGAAAAGCCTGGCAAGCTGGAGTCCAGAGTAAACATTCAGATTATGTTGGAGCCCCTAGAAACAGTGGAACACATCCAACAATCCATACTAATTGTCAACTGTTCGTGCAAGGTATAATTAGTCCATGTCCCACTGGTTCATCAATGTGGCAAGGAGAAAAAAACAAAACAGAAACAAAACACAACCACTAAGACAACATTTAAGTCAGAACGATTAAAGAATGATTAAGAGCACGCAGTATTTGAAAGTCTACTTTTGTGGAAAGGTTAACAAGAGCAAAACTTTGAAGTTCTGCCTGCCCCTACTAGTTCTCAGTGGACACTGTGGGAACTGTTAAATAACGAGATAAAACCAAGTTCTATCTTGTCGGCTCACAATAATAAGTAGAAATCAAGATTCAGCATTATTTATCCTTGTGAAATTCAGAAAATTCAGGAGAATCCCTTTACAACTGGCTTGGGGAAGAACAGCACCTGCTTTCTGCCAATGAACTCCAAACCTGCGAGGGACTTCATTAGACATTGGGCAACTAGATACTGGGAAGTTCAGATTTAGATGAGTAAGTACAGCATGCAAAGACAAGAGAGAATCATAACTGCCTTCAACCTACTCACTCTGACCTAGATAAAGACCCAGGAGGATAGAAAGGCAGAAATAGTGAGTTGCCATAACTTAAATATACTGTAGAAAGGAAAAATTGGGCCAAGTGCATACTGTATGTTACAATAAAGTCTTACCTATATTTCTCTTGATACTGTTGGTTTCCTTGAATCCACATTCAACAGCAAATTATGTTTGAGGGAGAATTTTTTTTTACTAGAATAACAGCCGATTACCCATAGGTAATTACCTATTCTTGTTTTCCAAACATCATCTTGGTTTGTAGTCCTACAGTTTGACTAACTACCTTTGTTTTCAGCTTTGGCATTAAGGTATAAAAAACTCTACAGGATGTGTAGCGGATGGGATACAAACACACACACCCCTGGCCAGAAAGGCTTCAGGTTTAAAAATCCTGCCTCCTAATAGCATGTCGTGCTTTCAGGAGTTCCAGGCAGGGTTCAAAGGATGAGAGAAACAGACTCTACTGTTTTGCATACATTTTTGGCTTTTGGTTTTGTTTCTAGAGTTGAGAGGGGAAGGAGAGAACCACTTGAAAAAAAAAAGTAAAGAAGAATCCAGTAGCATCTGTCTAATTTTGCAGGAAGCCTGAAATAATCTGAGACGGCAGCTGCCTCTATTGCAGTGCTACATATTTCAAACACCAGACAATGCTTAACCATGTCATAACTATTTCACTGATACAGATTTTCAGTGTGTGTGGGAAGGCGGGTATTAAAAAGATGAACAAAGGCCTTCTGCTTGCACAACATGCTGAGCCACCACACTAGGAACTGCTGTTAGCATAGCTGTGCTGGTTAGGAATAACAGATTCAGTGAGGCCAGCAAAACTAAGCTTTTGCTCATGAAGCCTTGTTCTCTTGTATGCGTTGAAGACAGTAGAGCAAAGCAAAGCTACAATGCAGTGAAGGCAGCGGAGCAAAGAAAAGCTGTAATAGGACAAGTACTTTTGCTGGTAAAAGCTGTACCTGGACTAGAAAAGGCATACCACTAGACCTACAGCAAGAGAGCACCTCTTGCTTAGATCCGGACGTTCTACTGCACAGGAAGATTATTCAGATCAATCTCTAGTTTAAAACGCTCTGAGATATTACCTTTCAGGAGTCTGGTAAATGCCAAATCAGATTTCTTTGCCCCCCTGCCCCAATATCCTCAGTTACGCACCAAACGTAACCCTGACAGTGCAAAAACTACAGATTACCACACAACAAAACTATGTTCCAAAACATAACGCTCACCACAGGAAGACAGCTTTGGAAACAGTTCCGTTATGTAAGCGAGTTATAGCTTTGTTTAGTATCTCAGCACTTCTGATGTCAATATTATACATTAATCTCTATAGGTGAAAAGAATTTTATACTTCCAGCATACTGATTTCAAAGTCAGTTTTGGTCCAGAAGCTATAGCTGCTTTCATAAGCACAAAGCCCAAGCTAGTAAATCCTGCTGCACGACGACATTGTCCTATACACAGTCAGCTCATGTACCTCTATACTATATTAGGAGAAGTAAGGATGTACTTCAAAGACACCTGGCTGCACCGCTCATGCTGTCAGGACTCACCAGCTCTTGCTTACTCCTACCCTTTCCACTCCAGGGTAGGAAAGCCATATTTGATACTAAGGGAGATTTGAGAATCAGGCCAAACATCAGCTCTGAACTGGCCCCATACTGGTAGCGGTTCTGGAGTTTTATGTCCTCCTGGAATCCAGAGTTGGGGAAAGGAGAAAGAAACGTTTGCGCAAATCTGCAGGTGCTATCAAGAGTCCTGAAGGTTAGCACCAAAATGAAACTAAGCACTGTCAAACTTAGTTCAGGCAGCTGAACATACCTGCACAGCGTTCTGCTCATTGGCTTAGGTAAATATCTTCTTTGTCTGCAGAGCAATACACACTTTCCAAATACAAGACCATCACAATCATATCCTAGCACTACTTAGGTATTAGAAAAGGCTATCTGAAAGTTAAAGTATTTGACACTGAATGTTTTCAGAAATGTATTAGAGAGAGCTATGTATCTGGTAAGCCCCAAATAAATATTCATAGATATAATGGCAACAAGAGATGCATACTAGCTCCACTTTCTACCATGAGTTCACTTTCTACTTACATTACACTAGTGAATTAGAGGTCTAATCAACAACTTAACTTTATTTGATTATGAGTGTTCAAACAGCATTCCTGTGCCACTCTCTCCTCTTTATTCCTACCATGTAAATACACAGTACAGAAACACCTCAACTTTCTACGTGAAGAAATAGTGGGAGGGGTTAAAATCCTATCTCCCAAGTCAACCACCAAAAATTGCTTTTATCCTTCAAAAGCAACCCCAGAAGGTTCTTGAGGGGTATCAGCTTGACCAAGTTTCCATTCTTTCTGCAGAAGTGACCTAACCCAAATATCAGCAAAAACAGAGTCTGAACAACAACTTATGCCTGCAGATGAGTTAGCAATACCAAACTATAGATTTCTCAAAATATCTGTTCTATGTTATTTTAGAATTAAGGCAACGCACTCCCTCCCAATACCCCCAAAATTAAATTAACTTAGAAGGACATCTCAAGTATGAGGTAGCTCAAACCACTGCAATACTTTAATTAATAACAGGAATACGCACAACAAAGACCCCTGCTATCCAAACATGCTATACCATTTTAAATAGCTGTTACATGTTTCTATGTTGATAATAAATGATATATAAACTACATCAGTTCTGATGCTGGGGTAGTCAGGACTATAACCTGAAGGGCAAAAACACTCAGACTGAGCAAAGATCATTTAAGGTTTCAAATCAGTGGTAAGCGGAGCTGGTTGCAATTTCTAGCCACCGCAAACTCAGGAAAAAACGAGATCAAAATAAATATCTTTCTTACAAATTTGAAGCTTAAAATGAAGCTGGAATTCACAATTTAATCTTATGGCAATAGACTCCACCAATATACTTTATCAAAACTCAGGAAAACTGCCTTTATCACTCTCCCTATGCAAAAGGCCAACAATATGCTATATCACACACAATGTTACCCAGCTTTAATATGCCACAACATCTTAAAAAAACTAGTTAAATCCATTAAGAATATTTTATAACGTCTAGAAGACTTCAGATCTTATTCTAGCTCTGTCTAAAAGGAACTGTTCACTAACAGTTTCTACACACACACACCCCTTCCAATAAATAATGCATACTATTGCAAGGACAGAAGGAAACAGCTACTTTATTTTCATTCTTAAAGTTGACAGCTATGAATTGGGTTAAATTTAAAGTTAGGTATCAGTATTTTAGCTAATGATTGGATTTATCCACACAAATCTGCAAGAGAAGATACCAATAAGATGCTCCATAGTCTCCAATCAATAGTTTCGCCAAAACAGAACACAGTTCCAAACAAAGCAAAGTAGAACTTTTTTCAATAAAATTATCATTAAAATTAGAACCAAAAGCTGCCTCTAGATTGTCAGTGCTGTAGTATATTAGTATATACATTTTATCCTCAAATTGAGGAGAGCAATAGCCACATCCAGGGTTCACATGCTTCATGTATCAAAGATCTACCTTGGCTTTAATTTTCATTTAAAAAAAAAAAAACACACACACCACACACACAAACAACCACACCCACAGGAACTTTCTTCTCCAAAGCTGCCCCAAGCCACTCTAAAAATACAGTTGCTTATTTTCTAGTCCTTAAAGGGGGAAAAAAAAAAAACCCTTTCTTCCTCTTTTCAAGGACCTTAAGCATATTGATATATTTTCATTAAAGAGGCCATCGAAGCAGCTGTAAGACTTTGACACCTACTCTGTAGAACTACATCTACAGGCAAGCAATTTTTTTTGTCACAGTACAATCTTTCAGGAAACACCGCTGCAGTCAGTCTCAACGTCTACACTTGCTGAAAAGAGACAAGTGCACACTGCTTCATGCAAAAGCAACATGCAACGCAGCTCAGAAGCACTGATCATACGACTCTAGATTGTCTAGGCTGTGCAACAACGTGTAAGTAATGATGACATCTACCTAAGTGAAATGAGGTTCTTCATCAGGTATCACTTCAAATGACTGAAGGCTTCCATCTACCTTTTGCTATAAAAAACACTCACGTTTTGCTTAAGTAGTATTTCAAAGTATGACATTAAAATGCCACCACACACTTGATATTCTCCATTTAATACTTACTTCATTTCCATGTTTCTGCAAAAATTCTATTTCCTGTTGTGTGAAAGTAGTCATTGAAATCGACTTCACTCTGTGGGGTGGATTCAAGCCCCGTCTAAAGAAAAAGCAAGAAGTATTCAGTCAGTATTCTGGAAACCTGTCAACCACCTTTAACATTACAAACAAAATTAAGTCAGTTTTAATATTAAGAGCTGGCTCTGGAAATTGCACTTATTCTGGTACCGCCACACAACACTACATAGAGGCTTGTCTTAAGGTAACATTTAGCGTGAAAAGTTAAGTAACTGAATTTTAGATGAGACCAATGTTTATGGTTGTACATGCAAACTAACTCTAGCCCTTTCTGTGCAAGTTTATGAACATATAATTAGACTTTTTTTTCCCCCCCCCCAAACTCTCACTACTTCCCTAAACTTGTTCACCCATGTCTCTACCCTCCATCTGTCAGGGAATCTTGGACCTCTCTATTGTTTTCTTTCCCTCCCCTCCTCCCTTACATGGGCCTATCTTCACTACAATTTCTACCTAATCACTAGATTTCTTAAACTAAACTGCCCAGCCCAAATTCTTTTTCTCTTGCTTTAATCTCTATTTCCTGTTACCTTCCAGTATCTTTTTTTCTAGTTTACTTTTTGCCCCTTCTTCCATAAGGTCTGACTTCCTCCTCCTCAACACTGTGCAAGTAACAGCAACAGAAGCTAAAGGAAGACTTTCGGTTATGCTCTCAAATGACAGCTATCATTATTAAGGCAATAGTTCAATGGATCAGTGGCTCTGCCTTAAGCAAAAATCAGCACCAGTCTCACATCCACACCACAGATGCTGACAAAAACGCAAGTCAGTTTTGTTGCCAAAGCCTTACTCGTCAAATCCAGTTCAGTCAAGATTTGCGAGCATAGGGAAAAAACCTGCTGAGCAACACTGCCAATGTAAGAACTGTTAGTTCCTCAAACTTTTCCTTTAAACACATGCTAACTTAACATTTTTGCCCACAAATACTCACAATTAATATCTAACCATGTTTTGCTCAATGGAATCAAGAGCACTGCAGCCTACACATGCCAAACTGTAGAGATACTAGCTAAGGCAATACAATTGCATTAGTTTAACACTCAGGTTAATCAGTCCTGCATTTATGGGACACTATCTTAAAAAAATTAATATGCATTACTTTGATATCCCATAGCTACAAAAAATTGTGCTGCTATGTATAGGAGAAGAAAGTTTCCAGAAAGGAGATTGGGGCAAGGTTTCCAGGAAAGTAACACAGAGCTAACAAATTACTAACAAATCAACAACAAGAGTTAGCTTTACTGCTTACATTTGTTACTTAGCATTAATTATAAACCTGGTTCAGAATGCCTTTAGGAATGCAAGTTGCTGACATCTCATTAGAGAAGACTAGTAGTTTTCTTTAATACTCCCTACTCTCTGTGATTGTTCCACGAACACTAACTGTAAATTGAATTGTTTTCCATCAAAACAGTGGATGAGAAAAATCTGATGCACCAAAGGTTAAAGAGATCGTAACCTTCATATTCATTGAATTTTTAAAGTTAACATTTAGCACTTTGAATTTCCAGTTAGGTTGATTAGATAGAAAAAAAAAATATATATATACACACACACACTTGTGACTTTACTTTGCAAATTCATCTTGATGCCTAAATTCACGCTGTACCTGTAAAAAGAATACAACTCTTCCTCTCTCTCAAAAAAATACATTTTTAAACAATGAAATAAAAAGTGAGTACTGTTTAGAACACTGATCAGTACATTTTAGCCTAAGTGTCAATAAAAAAAGTTTAAAAACACTTAATATTTGAAACACTTGGATAACCAGTTCACTGTGTTTTGCCAAGAAACACAGTGAAATTGACTGAGAGTAATCTGAAAGCTAAAGTCATAAGCAAACCCATTGGCATAAGAAATAAAAGTTTACAGAAAGCTATTTGCTTAAGCAAATTAAGTGTTTAAAATTAGACTACATGGTTGAGGAGTTCCACACCTCAGCAAGGGGGCAGAAGTTTAATTAAGTTTTGCGAGAAAGGTTGAGGTAGTTTGTTTATTCTACTTAGCCTTTTTTTCAGTGAATGAACTTTTCAAGATATCCCAGTTCCACATTAAATCAAAATTAACAACCTAACTTCTTTCGCTGAGTTGTGAGTCAAATGCATATCTACTTCACAAATAAGCAATGTTATTATTAAAACATGGTATTATCTAAATGTTTCTGAATTCTCATTTTAAGACATATCAACTTAAAAAAAATTTTTAAGAATTCTATGCAGTTAAAATCCTTCCAGTTTCAGATCTGCTGCTGGTATTAGATTTTTTTTTCCCCCTGTAAAAATAACTTTTTGCTCTGTGTGTGCACAACTGAATACATTTCACTAAGCCACACTGGAGAATCACATATTAAGGGACAGCATAGAAACAAAAGTGGCATCCAGCTGACATCTCACATAGGTATGTTTCATTAAATATTATGCCATAATCACTGCCCCTTGCTTTTAAGCTAAGTATAAAAGTGTTTCTGTCTATCTTAATCTGTTCAATTTACCGTTCTCTCATTGAGGAAGATTCACAGTTAGATAGCTATAAACTATTATGACATAATCTTTCTAAAAGCTAGGATTATTCAATAACACATTCCCATGTTTTTCAGCATGCGTAGTACATATAAACAGTCACACTATCTTTTGCTGGAAATTCATTTTTACAATGAATACAGTTTAAGTGCTACATCATATGCTTGATGATGATCATATGCTTCCATATCAATTGGAATTGTTTCCAATTCAAAGGCACTGCACAAGTTACTTAAGTGGTGGAAAGCACACGTACCTACTGTCAACTTTCAATCACATTATCCCCACAAACTGACCAGAATCTCCCCAAGGCAGAACAGTTGTGGGATTTATGAAGCAGAACTCGAGAACCAAACCTAAGTATTAAAGTTGCTCTTACTTTAAAATTCTGATACTTTACCCTTGCTTATCTACAGAAAATACTCGATGACTTAAATGATTCACAAACAACTCATCTGCATATGGAGGAAGCTTACCGGTACACAGCCAAGTACAACTATCCCTTACGAGGAGATAAACCTCCTTTTCCCACAGGAAAAATATATTTAACTCCTCCATTGTTTCTTTCCATCTATTCGTCAAGTGTTTCACACACTGCTAGTGCTTTACAGTCTCCCTTGTCTACGCGGCAGCAAAACAGGTAATTCCTTAGTCAAGACCAGTAACACACAAATTTAAGCATGGCATGTACTCCTCACTAGCACTCACTTCCTTCTCACAAGGCTACACGGATACCAGTACTGAACACTAGTGACCCACACACACGCAGCAGTACCAGCAACTCCTGCCTCTGCAAGAGAGCTCCTGGGGAAGCCAGCAGCCAGATGCCACCACAGCACTAACCCAAAATGCAGCCCTCTCCTCAAGTCAGATTATTCTGCTAGCCTGCACTTGCCCGGCAGACCATAGCTCGAATGCTCCATACTTAGATCCCACTCATATACGCAGACTTCTTCACATATAGCAATTGTTATTTCAGAGGAATTGCACTGTGGCCAGAACTTTCAGCTATGAGGCCGTCCTCCACTGAACTGCTCCAAGCTGCCAGTGACACAGCCTATTACACGAAAAGTTAACCAGAGTAGTTATTCTGATGCTCTCTGTTAACAGAGTCCAGCGCTTTTGCAAACAAAGTGAGCTTTAAAACTACGGATACAAGATTCTGAAGTCCGGTAACTTAAACATTAACGTTCAAAACACTGGCAATAAGCACTGAACGTTTGTTATTAGTGTAATTTAACAGCAAATTATCATCGAACTTGTGACTGCTGGCAGAGAAAAGAACAGTCATCCCCGTTTTCACCTCAAACAAGTGTTAGCAAAGTTTCAGAGAACACTGGCCAGGGATAGGAGGAGGAGAGAAGGAGGGGGAAAGAAAAAAAAAAAAAAAAAAAGAAGTTTCTGTTAGGATGGAGGGTCACTTCCATGAGAGGGGAGGGGATCAGGCAGCAACTCAGCACCCTAATGGCACCCCGTATCAGCTTCTAACGCGATCTCAAGCCTAAGCCAGCAGAATCTGATCTGCTAAGAAGCAGGAAGTTAGTAAGGCAACTCAAATCCCAAGCCATCATGGAGCACTCTACATCCCCAAGCATCTGGAAAATGAGGTTTTAAAAGTCCCAGTGTCACAGTATGCATCATTGTTCCTATGCTATTGTTATCACAAGAAAGAAAGTGTAAGCAGTGGACTGGCCATTCCCCACACTTCCCTGGAGACCCTCTACCATCTCACAAGCTCACTTTATTTTCACCAGCAAAAAGCTCACACGCACATTTAGAAGCGCAGACAAGGTTAATTTAACTTTTTTTTTTCCTTAACAAACCCCTCCTCTCTCAGCTGTGTAGTATTCACAGGGGTATACACACTTCCCTAGCTCCCCAGTCATCACACTAAAAAACAAGAGAAATATAGCCACATAGGGAATACTGTAACAGAGATGTACATATACGTACACATATGGAATCATTTTCTAAACATGCTTCTAAGAAGGGGAAAAAGGGGACTGGAATGTCATGTCAACACAAACTGAATTACCTTTGCTTTAACATTGTATATACACAACATTTTAATTTTTGCAATAATTTTTTGGGGGGAGGGAAGGGACAATAATTAGCCATTACATAAAGAAATATATTTTTACATTTGTTACTGATATCTGCCATCAAACATTCCAGTTTGGCTGACACAGGAGTCCCCAACCCAGGAAAATTTAAAGTCTCATTTAGGCATGTTATACAAGAAGTTAAAAGAATACCATACAGTCCCATAATTGCAAGATATAGTATCATAGTATAAAGGAGCTTTAGCACACTCTGCAGTAATAAAACATTCTAAATTTTCTTTGTTGCTCCTTACTGACACAAGCCAGTAGCACAAGCATTTGAATGGGATACTTCCTTAGAAACTTGGTTTGGTTAACCCTGCCAGTATATTTTTTAAAAGTTTCCCACAGGAATGGGAAATGTTTCTAACAACATGAAACTTCCAGAACTGGACTCCTTCAGTCAAACAGAAACTCCTCTACTCAAGAATCTCAAAACATGCTAATTGGTGAAAGCTAGGAGCAGACTGATGAGAAGAGGTACAGAAGGGTTTGAAAGCAGAGACATGCACAGATAGCAGAGAAGCAAGGCAGAGAAACACTTGATAAAACAAAGGGGAGGCTGTCACTGACAGGATACACAGTAATGGCCAAAAGCACACTAGACATGGCTACCAATCCTTTGGTTCAAAGGATTTCCCCAAACCACAAGAACTGTTCTGCCAAAACAAACCTGGAAACATTCCTCAGATACAGTTTTGCTATGACAAAAAGAAGTCTTTTGCTTTTGTATTACTATAACCTTTGACCTGATAATATAGCGATTATCGGCTATCCTCTACAACTCTTGGTAAAAATTGCGTATGTATTTCTACATACGCTTCCATTCTTGTGCAATAGCAGAAAGCAGAATTATGCACAGCTTGTATGATGCTTTCTTTCCACATGAGAGGAATTTAAGGACAAGTACGGATATTTTAAGATGAAGTCACTATCCATATACTTTCTCCTATCTGCTCCGTTTTACACAGCCCAACTTTTCCTCTGGTAAACCCAATCCGATGAGAGAATTTAAACCTTATGTATCACGGAAAAGGACATCCTATGTTATTTATACTTTTAACTGAACAAGATGCAGCTTTCATATTAAAGTCAGATCGAGAATTTTCATAACAAAGTCACCATTTTTCCTCATTGCTTTTAGCAGCACTTGAGCAAGCTAATCAGTCTATTTGGAAGCAGATGACCAAAAAGGTAATTTTTTTAAAATTAAATCTAGCAATAATTAGCGTCACTGTCTTTCTATACACATAAAATCCTTAGTGGAAACTAATCATGTAGCAACCTTTCTGTATTTTGAATTGAGCACTTCATACTTGAAAGCACTGGTTTATTAGACTGGAAGAATACTTCCTGTATCAGATTAGAAAATAATTAAATAAACAGATAAATAAAAAAATTAATAAAACAGGAAGCAATGCAAACCATTCATAGAGAATACAAACAAGATGAAGTAATAATATTATTAAAGCCTTACTGTAAAGCAAGTGTTGTGAGGTTGAATGCAAACAGCTATTAAGAACTACAGAAGCAGCTGTACTTTTACACTCCTTTACCACTTTGTGGTTTCTTCCCAAGTCACTTTGCTTCACTGTGGAACTCTACAGTGAAAAGCATTAATAAACAAGTTGCATGCACATCTGTTCTGACAGAAGTATCCTTGGGCTTTAAGGCTTCAAGTGTTAAAAATAATTTCTAGTTTTGAAATAAGTACGACCTCTCTCTCCATTAAGTCTCATAATTAACAAAAATATCCAACTGGCTAGGTTCTTAGGTGTTAACCATTATATGCAATCTTGCATGCACAACTTCTGAAAGCATTTGCAAGCCAACATGAAAGAGAACGAGCATATATTTTATTTCAGAACAAAATTTTAAGAAGTCCTTTCAGCGGCTCTTCACTCCACCTCTAAGGGTAGGTGTTACTAGCTGTAACAACTAATAGTGTTGTTCGTGGTTCCTTTTTTTTTTTTTTTTTTTTAATAGACAGAAAAAAATACTGCATATTTAGAATAAGAGAACTATCTACATTTTATTAGAATACTAAGGCACTGACAAGTCTTTTAGAAGAAGGCTTGCTCTCTTTAAGCATGGTAACGCCTGAAGGACGACCAACTTAAAAGCAAATGACAGCTGTCCCCTGCCTACTGGTTGGTTCACTGCATGTGCATCCGTTATGCTACCGTAAACTGGACTAGAGACTTTAATAGACCATACATATTGGCCAACAGATACAAGGAACAAATCCTCTCAAACCCATACTACATGTCTCAAAAACACTCACAATATATTTGTCTATTAAGGTTAAGAAGCCCGAAAATAAAAGGAAGTATTCTCATGGAGCAGTTTTGTCATGCTGTCAGTTTAACCGGTAGGAACATGTGTAACCATAAAACAAACTCTGAGCAGTAGCTTAAAATAGTTCCACATGCCAGCACAAATAACAGTTTGCTAACAGAACAAACAATAGGCAGAGCTGGCTGATTAAGTACAATATACATGTCAAAAACTAAACTCTTTGCAGTTCCACAACCTGAATGTATTTTTTATACTTGCATCAAGCCCATTCAGAAGTCTACACAAAACATAAATAAGAAGAGGAAGGGGGAAAAAAAAACCCAAGACTAATTACAAGTCTGCTAGCACAAAAGGCAGCTTGTTCCACGTAAATTCAGCACAGACTTAACATGTTTGCTTTGTTCTGAATCCCTGTATAATTGGCAACTTTGTTCTTTAGGAAAAAAAAAAAAAAGCAAACAGATCTTACTTGGAAGACATCTGTGGGGTAGTTATTCAGTGTATCTTACTAAGGAGCTAGAAATTAGCTCCTTAAGCGCACAAATACTTTTCATGAACCCAAACCCTTACAAACACAAATCTAAATTATCTGATATATTTATTACCTACTTCACTCACTTCTCTGGTTCTTCTCCATTCCACAAGCCCAATGTCACAGGAACATAAACAAGCAAACAGATTTAGCTATACAAACAGCATCACTGAACATAGTAGGATTTTTCTTTAAGTTATGTATGCATAACTGATACCCTAAAGGAATAAACTGAAATTCAGAACTGACAGATCTCAACTGTTTTAGTTTTATATACACTAATTCAGCAGAAGGGTGGAAGAGGGAGGAGTAGGGGGAGGCCCATACAGGAATGAGGAACAGGAAAAATGCAAGCCAGTCTATCAGAGCCAATCCCTTTTTAAAGATAATGTATAATTTTGCAGGAAGTAATAAATTCGAGGAAAAAAACCCAAAACACTATGACATTTTCCAATCAAGTACACTAAACAGACTAAAGCTAGGGATTACAGTCTAAACTAGAGTTTATAGAGCTGCTTTACAAACTATCTAGTCTAATCCGATATCTTAAAAGCTACGCTGGTGATCTTAAGACTAAATAAACTTTTTTTTTTTTTAAACAATAAACACTCAATATTCAATACAGCATTAGCCTCCCCATGTCTTCGAGACGGTCAGGAAAGTGAGCCGTTGGGCCATGCGCTCCCCTCTCTCCCCAAAAGCATTCTCCAAACGCCGATTTAACCGTATCTCCAAACTCGAGGTTTTGCTGCTGCTGCTGTGCGGGGCAGGGGAAGACGACACATCACCCCCTCCCCCCCACCA